GTAGGCAGTAAGCAATTACAAATAGAAACAAAGTATCCATGAAAAAAGTATCTGGTAGCAAAATAAAAGTATTTTCTTGTTCAGTAATAACAGTCTATAGTTCTTTAATTGTTTTTATTTAATTTTTTAAACATAATATAACTATAATATGATAACCAATTTGAAATAGTTAAGTATAGCTTAGTATCTACCTACAATAGTTTTTTTGTGGCACATGGGTGTGTCTTAAATACTCTTTGTATAAATCACTGTACTCATAAAAATCTTAAGAGTGTAGCTATTAGTTCACCACAAAACGGTATGAATGTATATTGCTAAAAATGTTTCACTAAATATTTAAAACTAGAACAAATAGATTCTTGCTGCAGACATTCAGACAGAGAACAATATGAACATAGATAGCGTTTATTATTTATTCATTATTTTAATTTAATAACGTTTCATGTGTTTTGATTTCTTTTTACCGGATATTTTTAACATAAAATCAATCTCATTCTTAAAATTTGTTTCCTACCATTATACAATGATCTACTTAAGAGTGCATTAACTTTTGGGTTGGTAACTTAATTATATTTTTTGTAAAATCTAAAGGCAATAGTATTGTAATAGGCAATCGAAAAGACATCGGGTCTACTAATTTCAGAGATAAATTATGAGTACCTATTGGTTATAAATACATTTTATAATTCATTATTGGTATACATAATTAATTTATAAAAAACAGAAACTTATATTCATCCGGTTTTATGCACTTAAGTATTCTTAACTTATATCATCGCAGAATGGTGGTGTATCATTATTAAAATATTAAATTTAAAAAAAATAAACGATCCTGTACCGTATATACCTATAGCTCGATTTGATACAGTATTTAAAATAAACTATAGAGTATACTTTAAATGCATGTAATGTAGAATATTTTTAATTGAGTATTCATATCTATAACTAACTAATAAGAGTTTATGAAAATATTTTGAAACAAGTGAACGAGATATCAACCAGAGAACAAAAAAAGCCTAGCATTAGAAATTAAAAACTTTTTCATCCAAGAATCGACTGTGATCTGAGTTGATTAAAATAATATCTGTAAAAAAAAATTTATAGTTTTGTGTTGCCTTTTTTGAGGAGTTCATATTGCCATGAGAGACATTCTTTAAATTCTGTAAATTATTTTTCAGTTAGAGATTTAAAAAAGTTTTTCTTTTCATATCTAACATTAAAAATGTTAATAGAAAATTCCATAAAAGTTTGTTTTTCTATATTATCGAAAGGAACATTTTTTATTAGCGTTTGAGTTTAAAATGTTAACAATATTGGAGTGGAGTTTCACCTGTAAGTTAATGAATTTTCAATCCATCAGTTTTAGATATTTTGCTTTAATGTTTATAATTCATTAGTATCAAGACGTATTTAGAAAAAAAAAACGGAATTTAATTATTTTTAACCATTTATAAAAATATATTAAACTAAAATTAATAAATATAAATAAAAAGTTTTTAATAAACAGGATTTGTAAAAATATAAAAAAGTATGTAATAAAGGATGAAAAATTGACTAATAAATACTAAAAAATACCTTAAATAGTTTATGTTTAATAATAATCTAAAAAGAATAGATTTTCCTATAAATGTACAGCCCTATATAATATTGATTTAAATCTTTAATATATTTTATTTACAGAGATATCAAATGTTACGGATATAAAGAGAAGTATCTGTAAGGAGTATACAAGTCCACTACGGCTTTGCTTCCTTTTAAATGACTTGGGTGCTTAAGCCCCTTTAATATTTTTGAGTGATTTGCGCCTATGTTTGAAACCCTCTATAATAGTTCGCATGATCGGTGTGTATTACTGTTGTGTAAAGGAACCTATATTTTAAATTTTTGTTCATCATATGCCATTAAACTTATGAAAAATTAATATGCTTCTCTAAATTAAATTAGATATCTCGTCACTTATTATTCTATATTGTGAACTACGATGTTACAAGAGATATAAAATATTGAGGAAATTTTTTTTTTATTATTAGTGGAAAGGCTAAAATTCGGACATCAAAGACAAGTTAGATTTTAGAATTATTATTTATTGATATTAATACTTAAAATTATTATGTTTTTAAGGTCATGTTCCAAACATTTTTTTTTACACAAGTTTTAATTTTATTCAATTGATATTATAAATTATTCTACTGTTTGGTAACAAAGACATAATATCAATTATTTAGAAATCATCAAATTTAATAAAATATTTGGTATACATTATATAATTTACCGAACAAGAACAATTTCTAAAAATAGGTACTTGTGTCTGAACAGTGGATTAAAATTAACAATTAGTATCATTTTTTCATCGACAAATTTACATATCGTTTATGAACTCGAGGTTTTAGCATCTAGTATAATATTACGTCATCACGATAGTCATATTTATTAATATAATTAATATTGATATTTTTATTTTTAGAGTGAACTGCTAACTTAGATAATGATAACTTAGATAGGTACCTATAATAGCTTATCAGTTGTCATGCTAGTCATCTAGAATTGAGGTCTAGTTTATCGTAGTTCTAATTAGATATTAATGGGTAATGGGTTTCTTTATTGACGGTAATTATGTTTTAAATTAATACTAATTTCAGAATTTGTGTGTAGATCTCTAAAGTCCAAATTAAAAGTTATATTGGAATGGTTTGATTGTATGGACAAATAGACATTATTACAAATTGTATTAAATTGTATACATTTAAAATATTTTTATTTAAACATGTTATTCATATCGCATAATATATAAGATTATGTATACATAACTCATTGTAGAAAATAGTATTTTCATATTTAAAATCATCAAACACACTGGTAGGTAGTTATTTTTTTTTATAAATAGTTTAAAAAAATTGTATATAATATTAAAAAATTTAGATAGGAATATGAAATTTGTTCACTGAAGGTACCTACTACAGTATTTTGTCGCTATACAAGAAAATTATCCAAAAGATAGCATATAGTTATAGTTAAAATTAAAATTAATAAATTGCATAATATTGAATAGATTTGGTAACATAATATTCACGTATCCTTAATATGAGGATGTGTCCAGACTCCTAATACCTACCTACCTATATGATTTTGATAGAAATTATTTCAACTCGTATCACAAAAATGAATGGAGTTAAGTTGTTTTGTACCATTTGTATTTTATAGTAATTCAGGTATAATACGAATTGAATGTTTCAATTTTTCTTTTCCTTCTTTTTAGGGACGGTCTTTTTGAATAATTTCTTGTAGATAACTTTGAGCACAAAGTAAATTAGATAAAATACAACAAAAATGATGAGCAAAATAAAACCGATGACATCTACTAAGAAGTACTTCCACCAGGGCATTCCAACGGCCGCAGTTCTTAAATGTTTTGCCCCTTTGTGTCTTATTACGTACTCTGTCCAATAGAYGGCAGTTTCCGTTGCATTCATGGGCCTGTCTTTGAACCGTTTTGCTAATTTTTTCGCATTTATTGCGTAGCTGAAAAAAATATGTATGCTATTACATTATATTGAATTATAACAATAAATTTAGCATGATTTTATCGTTGTATGATTATAAATTATAATCAAACAAACGATTTTAAAAAAATGAAAAAGTTCATGTCAATGATGATTTCAGCTTATAGTAACAAAATATTTTATATATCGATTATTTCTATTTAAAATAAATTAAAGTGGATAGTAATATCATAAAAACAGTAAGGTAATGACAATAATTATTGTTGTGTTTTAAATCTTACCTGTTATTATTAACTATTGTTGTAATAGCATTGTATAGAATATCCTTTGTCAACGTTTCATAATCCAATATAATACCTGAACCCTGTTCCACAAGTTTTAATATATTTCTAGGTTGGTCGAAGAAAAACGGAATTCCTATGACTGGTACGCTCGAATATACTGCTTCTATTGTCCCTAACAGTCCACCGTGGGTCATGAACAAACGGACTTTTGGATGATCTAAAATTAAAAAATGTATTAAATTTTTTTAATAATAAATATAATAATAGTTATATAATTATTTAAGCCTATATAATAAAATATAACCATAATTAATATACAAAGTCATTCTCAACGTAATAAAACATTCTCACTCTCATCTTTTGATACGTGCATTTCATTGCCCCCCTAATGTATGAACGTGTGCACTATTTTTCTTACTAATAATTAGTGTACTTTTACTATCATTATGTGACACTAGTTCCTATTGGTCAACATTTTATTTTTTGTTTGACATGTTTTCCCAGCCATATTCAGGAATTTCCCAAATGCTACATCATTAACTGCATGAACAATTGAAAATCATTTTTTTAATTAATTATTAAACCCAGTGTAATTACTAAATATAATTATCCATGATAATAAGTTTAAGCATAATGTGTGTGAGAATATGGTTTGAAAATTATAGCAATTAATATTAAAATATTAAAATTTGCTAAAATAGTATGATAAAGTATAATAGATACAAAATTAAATTGTAAATCTATTTTATTTTTCATGTAATAATATTATTAAAGATTATTAGCTATCATTGATACATAAAGTTAATTGTTGAATAAAACGTTCGAATTCAAAAAAAATCTGTTAAAGGATGGTTCTTGAATTAAGTTTGTATTTCCACGGGAAACTTATTAAATGGTATTAAAAAAACTAAGTATTTGAAAATTTAGTTTTTAAGTAGGTATAGGTGTATTAAATATTTATTCAAAAAATCGAAATTGTCATTGTCATAGGATAAATGAGAGCGAGCTTGGTTGGTGAATCACTCTGTAGTGCATAAATAACATGATAAAATCCAATACACATATGAAATTACATCTAAATACGGGCATAATATCTCCAATATATACCCTTTACTTATATTATATACATCATTAATTTATTTTATTATTATTCATACTCAAAATATCTCTTTGAGGCATCCATTTGCTTATGTACACATTATCAGGTTTGTCAGGCATTTCTTCTTCGTATTTCCATAAGACTCTGATGGGTAATTTTGCGAATACATCCTTAAACATTTGCAATACATTTGGTGGTAGTGTAGATATACGAATAAGAGACCCAAACGTAAAAAACATAACTCCATTCGGTGAGTCTTCGATAAACTTCAATATGTCCTATTAATAATATAATTAATATATAATATAAATTAATAATCATTAAAGAGTTAAAATTGTTAACAAGATCCAATACATTTAAGTGAATAATTGGATAAGTGTTAGGTAATGTATGATTAATGTAACATGGCGTGTAAGTACATGTTTAATTATAAGTATCATTATAATTTATAGTTACACACGATACTAATAAAAGGTATTCGTATAACATGTGTATTTTTATATAATAAATTACTGACTAATAGTTATACTGTTTGAAAAACAATTACAAAATTACAAGTATTTAGTACCTATTTACATTATAAAGAACGATACGAAATTTCTATTATATATCATAATTTTAATTTTGATTATTAATCATAATGTATTATATCATGAGTTGATGTAAGCGCTATAGATAATTATTTATTTGAAATCTTGCTTATGGTAGTGATCTATAGTTTTGTTTTTTATTATGGAAATACATTTGGACTTTTAGTTTTTAGCAGGTTAAAAATATTGATGATGTAGGTATGTTATCGAACATGATTTTATTATTGCTTTCAATTAAAATTTTTTCCTTTCAATAAACCACCCTATTATGCATCGTAGACGAATGTCTAACGCCTAGTATTTGCAGTGTGTATAGGTACGGATACAAATCATATTATCTTGTTAGGTTCTTTTTAAATTATTAAATTCTTAGTAGGTACCATGTTTAATTTGAAATAAAAACAATATACATATTTGTATGCATTTAATTCAGTTGTATATATTTATTTTACCTTGGGTATGGGCTTGGGTGATTTTACATGTATTCCACCAATTTCCACCATGTTGGGAACTAGAGGGCGTGGTCCATCCAAGGAAAAGTGACCGTTGACAAACACCATTGAAGTGTTGTAAACTATTTCGTTGATATGAGGTGTGTCCGGTCCAAAGTTCTCTTTCAACAATTCATTTGCTGGCCATTCACTGTAATACTTCCATGCCAATTTAAAGTATATATAGTACAAGGTGTTGATCATACGTTCTTTGAAGTTCATCTTTCCAGCTGCTCTTGTTACGATCGTCGGTATGTACGAAGGGTTATCTGGTCCACCCACACGGTCGTAACTCCAAGGCAAATGTGAACTGGACATGATGGACAATAGGGGTGCTTTGAAATGGTAAGCATAGCCAACATCACAATCAGCTCCAAATATTTCTGTGAAAACCTAAAAACAAAAATAAAATAATCAAAATCGTTACTTTGACTTTATAATATTTCAATATCGAGACAAATAAGCAATAAACAATTTAAATTCAACATGTAAGTATTAAAAATATTTAAAAATAATTGTCATATTTAAATTATAGTCTATTAGATTTCGTGTCTAGTACAAATTTCTCATGTAACATATTTTAATTTCCTAAAATTACATTTTATTATTATTCGCATACGCAGGTAGTCGTCACTTGTCACATTAAATAACAAAGAAAAAACATAATTATTCTATAATGTAAGCCGTAATCGCGATAATCAAAACAATATAATACTGGATATATTCGTAATATACCAAGTAATTCTTTTGTCATGGACCGATGGACCATTCATTATTTTTAAAAATATTAATGTTGTTGTTGAAAATATTTTTTCACATGGTTTCAAGTTGTTAGACAATCACATTTAAAAAAAATTATGTTATAAATATTTTATAATATCCTTATGAATTATGATTAATAAGTTTTTTTTTTTTTTTTTATGATACCATATCGTATTTAATTTTAAAAATTGGAATATTTTTCTAAGTATTTCGATACATAAAAACTGAATTTAGGAATATAGTAATTTATAATTTATAATTAGTATTTAAAGCTCCACAATGTATCGGAGGACCAAAACTTAGCAGGGTACGCAGTGTACCATTCCACTCCGATCATCTAAATTTTATATACTTAAAACTCATAAGCTAATAAGCTATATTATTCCTAAACTGTGATCTGAGGATAAAAAAAAATATTTAAAAAAAACTTATGTTACGTAAAAACTTGAAACTGTATAAAAAATATTTTTAAAAACATTAATACTTTTTAAAATAATGAGTGGCTGACGATAAAAGAGTCACAGAAGAGTCACGCTCTGTTACATATATATATATATATATATATATATATATATATATATATATATCGCAGTCATATCTGTGTCCTCTGTATTATCGTAATAATAGCGTGACAACCGAGTTAAAATAATAAAATATTGTATACTGACCGCATCAAACTTGATGCCACTTTGGAGCAGCGCTTTCACCTGGGGCAGCTTCTGGGTCTTCCGGCAGATATTCATCTGATGGTCGGCGATGAACCATTGGTTGGCGAACACGCTGGACAGGTATTTGAGCACCATTTCGACGCTGAGCGTGTTCACCGCGGACGGAAACGACGCCGACACGTCGATGTCCGTGTAGTTGGCCAGTGGCTGTTTCTGGGGGAACGCCGTGATCACCGTCACGTTGTGGCCGCGCGCCACCAGGGCCTTCATCAAGGTCTCGTACACCACCCAATGGCTGCGGCCGTTAATGGGGAACACGCCGAGGATGTKGGCGCCGTCGGCGGTGGACAGCGCGCCTAAGGCGGCCACCAGGAGCAGCCCGACGTACTTCATCTGCGTTCGGACAAGTAAATGAATAATTTAATATTGTACATTGGTATCTAAATTTTAATACCACGATGCAGACATAGATCGATATATTTATTTTGCACGAAAATTGAAACAAATGAAACGTTTGTAGTTTTTTATAATAACATCAGTTTTTGTTGTGGTTGATATAGTATACAAGATTTATGGTACCTATTTTGGACAAAAAAAATTTTTAAATGCTATATTAGAATGTGGGAATTGTGGAAAGATACTTTTCGTTGATCAACGAGCATTTACCATGGTACAATTCTCGCGCAATCATATAGCGATATTAAAATATGTGTTTTTTAACGTTTAAATATTACATAATTATACTTCAACCCTACATTTTATTTAATGTATTATTTATTATATTTAAAATTTACACGACAGTTAAAACTGCGATTTTCTAATGTATTCTTGTTTAAAAATAAATTACTTAAAACAATTACAGTGGAACTTTGCCATATCGAACTTCTGTATTTCGTAGTTTCTGTATGTCGCATTTTTTTTTCAGTCCAGATCATTCACTTACGTACCAATTTATTTCGGTACATCAAATTTCTAAACGTCAGATTTTTTCTATAAGTCGAAATCATAAACCTACCCGCCACCTATTTTGGATCACTAACTCGAATACATAACAGATTAGAGATAGTATAAAATGTCAATACGATAAGGTATATATATAAAACTTATGCATATCATTTTTGCTTATGTACATAACATTTTTTCAATTACATTTTATGGTTTATTATATTTTTTTTTCAAAGGGAAACGAAGTAGCAGAAGAAGTGTTTGAATATATTCCAGAAGAATGGCATGAATATTAAAATAAATACTCCAATATCAAGATTTCTTATTAAGAATTTTTGTATATTGATTCTACTTTGAGTACATTAGAAAGTTTAACTACTAATACTGACATTTTCAACACATCTAATATTCTCAATGAGCCAGAGTCAGATTTAGATAAAGAGATAGTTGAAGAAGAAATTGCTGTTATTGAACTTTTAATATATGGTGCCCAAGACGAAAATTATATTCACGAACTTCAATAAACATTTTTATTTCAAATTTTATTTATGCTGAAATTCCTTCATTAACTCAAAGTTTTGATATTCTAAGTTTTTTTTCGGTCTCTTAAGATTTCGAAATATTGAGGTTCCACTACTGTATTACGTGTAGGTACGACGAAAAAATATGTTCCCTGCTTATAACTATTAATTATCTGTAGGTATGCCTGTATTATACTGAATTTTATTTTATTATTTATTAGCATTACACAACCAATATAGAGTTTTTTATTTAGATATATTGATTTGCTTATCGAATATTCAACTATGAAATTGATAATTTTGACTTTATTAAACATAATCACGGTACCTATTTATTATACAATGTAATTATAGTATGCGATTGTGTTTTTGAACGACTTGTGTACATTGCACATACCTATCAAATATTATTTAGTTATCAAATCAATATTTCTATTTTTAAAACGATTTGTATCAATATTATGTAACACTTTAAACGATTTGGATTAAAACATCTAAACTTTAATCTACAGAACACCAGTGGCGCCGAAGTAAAAAAAAATATGTAGGTGCCCCCCCCCCCCCCCCTATAACAGGAACAAAAAATAAATTACCTGACCTACATAAATACAATATGAATAGTATGATATTTTTATCAAAATTTTTTTCACTCCCCTCTCCCCATCCCCACATTTTTATCCTGTGTTTTACCTACCCACTCGCCACCCATTCATTTGTTAGTTAATGCTACCAAAATAAATAAATTTACATTTTTAAAACCTAATTTACATTAAAAAATCATGTTAAATTCACTTATTTTGTAATTAATTATTATAGTTATAACTGACTAACTTTTGATTGAAAAGAATAAACTAAAAACCTTTTCTTATTTATAACTTTCAAGTGGATTATTAGATTATTGACCATAATATAGAATCTACAATATAATACACATAAGAAAAAAATTGTATATATTATATAAGATTATATTATTTATATTCAACTCCAATCTAATAAATTAAACTTTTAGTCAAAACTGTACTTTTAGCAGCAAATATTTTAATGATATTCTCAAAATCTGGTTCAATATCGTTTTCACAACTTATTCTTATTAAGAAGTAGTCTTCTAGTCTATCTTGAACTGAGTTCACATTTGAAGTTTGATCGATGTTTCTGTATTCTACTATTCTGTAATACTATAAAATAATATATTCTCCAGGATAATAATATAATATTTTCATGAAACTTGGTGGTGACGGAGTCACCGTCACCACCAATTGCATATGTAGGACAGTTGTCCTACATTAACATAGGGTTTGGCGCCACTGCAGAACACTGTTAACTATAATCAAAGTAATTTTGAATAAATTATATAGGTAAATAAATATAGAGCTTTCAAAAATCAAGTTAAAATTGGCTTACAAGTATAATATAATCCTACTGCAAGTAATGAGTTTGTACAGAAATTTATTTTTTTAATGAAACTCAATAATTTATTAATAGGTAGTTGGCTTAACAAAATGACAAGGATAACCAATAGTATTATAGTAAAATGCATCACTTATATGTAATGGCGTTGAAATTGAAAATTATAAAAATAGGAAATAAATAAATATAATAATATATTTTATTTTATTTTATTCTATTTAGTATAAATTCAACGGACAGAATGTCCTTTAACAAAAATATGTATAGCAGACTATTACAAAAAAATATAATGAACCATAAATAATAAAATGATAGAATTAAAATTTACATCTTATATATTCTTCATAAAATTAAAATAATCACAAGTTAAAAATGTATGAATATAAAAGAGTATAGACAGTCATTCAAATACATACACCTTTTTTTGTACATTTGAATAGAAAACCACTAAATAAAAATTATTTTCTTTTATTGACAAAAAAAATTTCCAATGGACACGCATGGTGGGTTGGGTACATATTACAAATTGTATTTTTCAAATTTAAATTTGATTTCTGGCAACTCATATATAGTTAAACAATTTATTCGATTTTTGTAAGCTAATACGAAATCCATGTTTAAACCTCCCTATAGCAACGTATAAGGGTAAAAAATGAAGCAAAGAATATTCCTCTCTGCTTAAAGACAAATTAATAATAATTATAATAATAATAATAATAATACTGACAATCTTTATCACGGATATCAACTACATATTATACAAAAATRATGTTTACAATAACATTTAATAATATTAAAAATATGCCACAGCAAATTAAAAATTATATTATAAACTATACAATTAGTTGTTTTTTAGCTTTAAGCATGATTTAAATTTAACCAACATCAGTAATATTACCTGCTTCCATTAACATACATATATAGGAGAACGTTCAAGTATTTTTCTTTATATTTTTCATKTAAACATATATTTAATTGCACGTAACGATTAAAGCTTTTAGTAAACGTAAAAGTTTTAAATTGTAAACTCAATAATTGTAAACGTTCAAGATTGAATGGACAATTTATGTTACCAACTATGAATGAGTAAAAATACTAAATTCTGGACATTTCTCCTGTGTTGTAGAGAATCCATATTAAAAAAAACATTGAACTCCTTAAAATCTCGAGTAGAGCCCTCTTTCAATATGGCATTTAAAGGATAAACATCTTAAAATTATTAGTTTTACCGGTTGATGGATTAGCTTATAATATTATAATAATTACTCAGTTTTTTAAAATAATAAAATATTATCAAAATATCAAATAATAACTCTATTTGATATTGAATAAATTCAGTTATGGGTTGACTTAAAAAAAAAATAACATTTCATAAAATATAATATAAATGGAATATATCATATCAATATTATTTAATATGAATATATTATCATTATATTCATATGATGTAAATAACATTAACTATTATATACAGTATACATTATTTGAAAAGATGTTTTTTAATTGTGTACCTAATAATATAGGTAAGTTTTACTTACCTTTCAACAGATGCCAGTGAGATAATAACAGCGAGTATACGACTCTAGCAACAGCGTCTGCGCGAAATTTAAAAACGCGGTCTTACGACGATTGTCCGTGAATGATGATGTAACGATCATAGGTTATAACTTATAATGCATATTAATATTTTTTTCTATTACAGCCTAAACGGGATAAAAAAGGCGCTGTTCGGTGTCGATAAGAGTGAGTAAAATAAAAAATAAATACAATTAAAAAAAATATTTCTTCACTAGTATTATCCCATTAAAAAACAGCCTAGTACCGTCGAATCACGGACACACACTAATGCAATACATGCGGACTGTCGACGATGCACCGTCGTATAATTATATTATTATTACTGTTATTTTCAACTAGCAACGAATCGCGGTAGGTTGGGCTTGACAAGGATAACACACAAGTTCCCCTACCAGGCCTTCACGTGGTAGGACTTTAGTTTTGTTGTACTTTGGTATTAAAAGTAATATACAGGGTGTCCCACAGAGATCTGACATTCTGACAAATGAAATAACTTTTGTTCTAATCAATATTTTTATTGTTAATGTGTTTGTCATGAGTTTCTAAAAAATTAAAACGATGTAATAATTATTAGTGACCTTGACGTTGAAATTCGTAATTGATACCTACTATATTATCATCATGATAATATAGCAGAATACTAACTTAAATATTATAATTTATACATTAGTTGGATGACGGTCGCATTTTATAACTAAGAGTTAACCAGTTTCAGTGGACATTCAAGCTATCACACACTGCACTACTGCAGTAGAACCACAAGATATGAAGTACCTCTACAGGCAAGGCCACTCGTAGAAATATTTTTTGGAGGGGGAAGTAAATAGAAAATATTTCGTATATGGCAAATCAGTGATGTAAATAATTAGGTGTTCGTGTAACATAATATAGTGTATCTTTTAAAGGTATAAAAGGCCACGGTCCCCATATATGAAGCATATACGGTAGGCCTTTTTATAGGTGTGCTATTCACTAGACACAAGTATTTAATATACAATGCATTTTATTATACCTACTACACTATTTGATAAAAGGTATTTAAACGTCGTGGTACCTACTATAACCTACGATAATAATATTGTAGATAGGTACAATAAATGATGTGTCTATAGAAACTAGTAACAGCGGGCGCCATGTAATACAGCTGAAGTTATTTTATGAATAATATTATGTATTAATGTATATTATTATGCCTTAATGGCCTGTAGAAGCTAAGAAAAAAAACGTAATATTACGTAATATAATATTATTTCAATATACGTATATAATAACTTAGTTTAATATCTATCATTTTACAAGAAAATATTTTTTTGATATCACAACTAGTTTTATTGGGTACGATTGTGTTTGTGTACTCGAAATGTTAAGTATAGATTTAGATACATACGACGCACCAATGGAATATTAGCCTAATATAATATCTCATGGTATTATTTTGTTTGTATTTGCAAGAATTTTTACACTTTACAAGTGAACATGCTAGGTTATGCATGATTGTAGATGCGAATAGTGAATATTCACCAGAAGAACTTAACGAAGTAATTGGATTGAATTAGAGCTGAGAAGGTCATACTAGAATTTGTTTAAGACATATCGATCTTAAGTATATTTTCTTTATAGTAATTTTTTTGATTAATTCGTTATTTAATTATTTTGCAATTCCATTAATCTTTCTTAATTACTTATTCCAGTTAGTGCATATAACATATCGAAAAATGATCAATGATCATATATGCCCTTCGTAATTTTCGATATTGTAAAACTTTGAAACGTAAAAATCTAGAAATATGTAACACATTTTTATCATACTGACAAATGATTGTATAACTCTAAGTTTACAGTTTATTTTTAGAAATTCATATACTAATATCTAGGTAAAAAAATTACGTCAACTTTAAAATTCGAAAAGCATAAATTCATAAACAATGTGTTAATGCATTAGAAGTGTGATTATGTGTTATTGGTACCATAGGTAGTGTTGATATCTTGGTATTTATACCGTTGGATTTATTACCTGTAAAGTCACAAACTATACAAGTTATGTTTAATTAAAAATATTGTTTGACATACATAATATTAGTATCCGTAATTTAGGAACAAAATACAAATATACAAACATATATTTTTTTAAAGACACTTGAACAAGATCTCTCATCAAAATATATATGAATATATTACTCTGCAGTATAAATAATACAATATTTTCTGAATAACTGTATTTAAGCGTTTTTGACTATTTTAGTTTGATTGTTGATTGCCTTAAGTTTGGGTGATACCTCTAATCTAACCTAGATGACTAGGTAAAGATAAGGGATCACATCATACCTTAAATGAGTAAGATGAATCTATTGATCATATATAATTACGAGTCGTAATATTGATTATTTAATAGATCGATTTTTTATTTTTTATGTAACTTAATAATGAAAAAAAAAAATAACGGAGAATCACGATTTTTTTAAAACATTTTATCATAATTAATAATGATTAAAGGTGACCTAAAGATGACTTTTAATAGTTATACTTATAATTTATAATAAAATCTGCTTATCAACAGTAGTAAATTTCATAACGTTTTTGAACTCAATAATATAATTTACAATATCTGTGAATAATATGATATTGATTTGAATGATTTCATATTAAATTATGATATATTAAACCTAAACATTTATGAATTAAAATGTAGGTATACCCTAGGCCTATACAAACAAATTATCTCATAAAAAGGTCAATTATGTAATTGAAATTAATATTGCCGAAAATAATTCTTCAATCTATTTTGATGGATTCAAATGTAGAATAAAATAATTATAATTAAACAATAAAATAAACACAATATTAGAAATTAATAAGGTTCAGATGGCTGTATTAATATTGCATTATTCAATTTTAATTTGTTTTAAATGAATACATTTAACAAGAGAACATGTAATTATTATTGAAATATACAATAAAACTGCCAATAGACTTATTGAAATTAATACTACGACCAATATAACATCTAAATGATGATACTGATACCAATACATGTCGTTTGATGCTGATTTCATGTGTTCGGTTCCATTATGTTTAATTACATACTCAGTCCAATATGCGACTAGCGCTCTTGGAGACATTGGCCGGTCTTTAAACAACTGATACAACTCTTGAAGATTTCGTTTGTATCTATAGAATAGATATATGTTTATACAAAACAAATAAATATACATGTAAGATGTAACACTATACTATAAATTTGATAATTTTAAAGCAATAAATTGTTATACTTTCGTTTTTTATAGAATTTATTGATCTATGCACTAAAAAAATATAACGTACTTTTTATTGTTGATTATTTCTTTAGCAGCAGCTACAACTGATTTTTTATCTATAGTTTTATAGTTTAGACTTAAACCCATTCCCAAGTTTACTGCGTTCGCTATGTTTCTATGTTGATCGCTAAATAATGGTATGCCAAGTATAGGTACTTGATTGATAATGGCTTCATTTGTACCTGACAACCCGCCGTGATAAATAAATAGTTTTAATTTTGAATGTGCTGTAAAAAAAATTCATTTTTTTTTCTCAATTATATTACTAGAAATAATATTCGAGTAGGTACCCATTATGTCTCTTTGAGGAAACCATTTCTTGATCATAACGTTGTTTGGTTGGTTTTCCATTACCTCACCGTCATATTTCCACAGTATCCTTTGTGGTAGTTCAGCAAATGCCTCTTGTAATGCAATTTGCATTTTCGCTGGAAGTGAATCCATTTTTACAGTGGAACCAAATGAGAAATATATTATCCCAACTGGAGCGCCGTCAATAAATAGTTGTATATCCTATTTAATACCCACAATTAATGTATTTAATAATCAGTAAAAGTAAAACGTTTTAAATAATTATTAAATAGTGTTATTCATATTATACACATATATTTTCTAACGTTGGGGATATATTTTGGACGCTTCGCTAAACAAATATAATATTCAAAGTCTAAAAATATCTAATAGCGATATTTTACAATAACGTGCCTATATCACTACTTCAACCCTCGATATTTGTACTCTACTCATTAATAAATTTCCTATCCTTTAAATTTTTTCTTATTCCTTTAATGGATTTTATAGGAATACCTATAATCTGCTAAAAAATAATAAACAAAAGAATATATGATTTCATAAATGTGCAACTTATTTTAAAATTAAAATAATAATTTAAAAAAAATCCGTACTCTTGGTAATGGTTTAGGATCGATTACGTGAATACCTCCGATTTCTATAAGATTTGGCATCCACGGCCTGGGTAAGTTAAAAGAGAGATGGCTGTTGACGAATACCAATGATATTTTTTTCATTAACATGTAAGAATCCGGCACGTCTTTGCCAAAATAAGTTCTTCCCAATACCGTTGCATTACGATTGTACCACCAACTTTGACTATTCGAACGTACGTAATCGTAACTGTTTAAAAAACGGTCCCAAAATGTTTTAGGACTTGCCATTGCTGCGTTTAGTGTGGACGTGTAAGAAGTAATAAGAGGATTGCCCAATTCATCATTCAACCTAATAAACAGGATGCATGTTTATGCACATATATAATGTAATAAATATAAATACGTCGATGTGTAGGGAGCTAATACAAAAAAATAACTATAAGTAATTTTATCATGATGAACGTACCACGTCGGCATGGCAGATGCAGTAACGGCGATCATCGGCACTTGTAGTTTGTAGGCTATATACGAATCACAACCCGAACCCAACAATTGTGTGATGAAAAGGTCATATTTTTTAGATTCGAGCACGGTCCAGAAATCTTTGCACTTATAAATAGCTTCACACGAAGCGAGGTGTGTGTTAATTAAATATTCAACACCATCATCTCCAATGACTTGGTCGAACGGTGCCGATGCCGATCGTTTCATGTAAAAAGACGAATCTATCTTAAAAATAATAAAATTATAGAAATTTGTTGGTACGGTAGTTGGTTCAGAATTGATATTTTATATTCAACTGTTGACATAAAATTTAAGTTTATTTTGAAAATCATTGATTATTGCTATAACGCTGTACCATTATATGAAAACAAACATAATGTAAAATCAGTAATAAATTGTAGTCATGGTTAGTTTTACTAAGAAAATAATGACATATCTACCTGAGTATAGTTTTCAATTTTTTCTTTTCTTATAAAAGGAGTTATAACGGTAACATTGTGTCCAGCAGACACGAGGGTTTGTAATACAGCATCCATAACGTTCCAATGACTCTGTCCATATATCGGTACGAAAGCGAATATTTGAGCTCCATAAACAACAGTCGTTATAAAGTGAACATTTAAAAAAATTAAGATGAAATGCATTTTAAATATTTTATAGTTTAAATATTTATACATAGCATGTATATTTAGTTTACCCTATCGATAAACCATGTTAAACGTACGTGGTTAAATAAAAACTGAATTGTTTGATGAATGTATGAGGACACAACACAACACAAATACTTGTGTTATTATTTGTTTATTTGTTATTAATTAAACGCCATCGTTTGAAAAGCACATTGAACCTAACTAGTAACATAATTCGTATAACACTCTATCTACCGTTGCAGAGAAGGAATATTAATTTCATGTTTTTGGTTTACACTATGTTGTGTTATCAGAAAAATGGATACAAAGGGCTAAGGTGATAGTTAGTTTGAAATTAATATTACCAAGTTATTATATATTATTTCGATTGTGTACCTAATTGTATGATATCAGTGCTACCTATTACCTAAACACGTATAGATAAAAATAAATACAACTATACAAATTAGTAGGTAAATCTACCTATCTCTCTGTACTTAAAACATTATGTCCAATTTTTATAATAATTTTTACTCGTTTTAAACTACGTATATACGAGTATATCATAGTATTTTTTATGATTTATTTTTGAAATTTTTCAAAGTCAATTTTATTATTTTATTTTTATTTAATGACCTAATTATCAAACGACCAATTTACTGCAGTCAATTGAACTATATTACCAATATGGTAAATGACAATACGTAAAAAAAAAGAGCAAATGACTGTACCGTGAAGTTGCACGTGTACGAACACTACGAACACATGTCCAGAGTACGATATGCCAAATGGCAGTGCCAGCGGCCTCGCATTCGACGCCGCGGCCGTTGTTATAGAATCGTCGCATATCGCTGTATACATTTTTAGTTATCCCAACAGTCAACCAGGAATCCGGCGTACACAGTCGTATCTGGACGCGATGCTCGTCGACCGGCCAACACTCGTGACTTTCGTTTTTAATTTTTAATTTTGTATTTATATTAATAGTTTGATTTACTATATTAATATTAATATATTGATAGATGGACATCCCACTGATTTAGTTGGTACAACGACGCGGGTCGCGTGACTCCCGGTGGCTAAGGCATGGCAGTCGGCACACCATGGTATTCGACAACTACTCAGTGGTACCGATCCAGCGTCTAGAAAATCGATGGCATAAATTTGAACCACTTAACGTCCGTCAAGCTAAACATTGTGGTGTTGTGTATATGCGTTAGTGATGTAAAAATCCGGATTCGCTGAAGTTTGAAAATCGGGATGTTTGAAGTTCGAAATCCGAAATCTGAATTTTACTGTAAACTCGGATTTCGGATTTTAAAATTAGGATTTTGAATTTTAAAACATTGAATTAGAAATCTTTTAAGAATTCTTTATAGTAAATACAAAATAATTACACATTCTTATAATAAAATTATATTTTGAACATGTTATTTATAGATTTTAGTACTCAAATACTAATTTTATTGTAACTAGAACTTTGTTTAAAGAAACGAAAAAAAATACATTAAACCTGTAACAATCTGTAAGTTCAATGCTTTTAACTAAATTTATAAGTTACAGTAGGTATAAGTATTAAATTAAATTAGTATCAGAATAATTATCTTTTTTTTTTCATTAGTATCGAGAATCACAGGAGGAACCATGGTACCAGTACTTCTCCTCCGGCCACTATCGTTTATTGATAATAATTAATAACCAATTAAACAATTACGTAGCTGCGATGGACCAATCTCCCGTTCGACAGCTATTACAACAGGTAGTTAATACACAATAATACTCTCGAGTTTGCCTTAGGCTACATTTTTAAGAAGCTTAAAAATATATTTAAATTTTTAAAATAATACAAAATGTTATTTTATTATTTGCCTGGCATGAAATAGGCATTTAGTCAAATGCCTAGTCATTTAACTAAATGTCTAGGCGGATAATGAAATTGCATAAGCATTAAATTCTTTGACTATATGCCTAGGCATTTAATAAAATGCCTGATTTGACTATATGCCTACGACAGATATATAAACATTTTAAGAATTCAAATTGTTGATTTATAAATAACCAATATTAGCTTGCATACATATTTTATCTTGGTATATGTACTCGTATTTTATTTTATGTAACATAGAAATGTTATCAAACTACATTCATTATCTCTTAAAAACTGTTTATGTTTTTATATATTACTTTATATAATATATTTTTTATTATGAATATTGAATATGGTTTCGACAGCTAGGTCATTAGACTACAGTTGTGGACATAATATTGTTAAAGGATACATTTGTTATGATTGTATGTTACATGATTACAGATTAAGGTGATACAATATTATATATTAACATTATATTTGGTATGCATAGATTTAGCTTGATACTTAAATTGTTGTGTCAATGCCACTGGATTTGAAGAAGCTATGGATCATGTGAGAGTTGTGTTCTCCAACTCTCCATGTGCTTCCTCCATTGAGGAAGGTTGGTTTAGGATAATTCTTGTGTTGACGTATAGTGGGCAATCTATCTTGGAGGCATATTATACGTTGGATTGTAAGTTTAAAAGGATTCATTGTATATTGGAGCTTCATTTTTAGAAGCCATCAAGATTCCATTGTATAATATTAGTCATTTTTTTTAAGGGAAATAAGTGAGTTATTTAATTAGTGTTTATTTAGGGCATCATTCGGAATAATAGATTATATAGCTTAGCGAACCTGGCTTTAATGTTACGATCGGTGTGTTTCGGGTGAACAACTTATATAAATCTGATAAACTTGTTCCTGAGTCATTAGATAGAGAATTAATATTTACATTTTTATTTTATGCTGATTTTATAATGAAATTTAAACTGATAAAAGTTGGTTGGCGCGTGTTCGGTGAATGCATCAAGTGCAGAACAGAGCTGTTCATTCAATTTATCAGTGACGTGTGTTTTTTTCTTGGCCTTTGTGAACCCGCATAATGAGCATATTTTGATAATACCTGAGATATATATATATATTGTGTGTGTATTTATATGTTATACAGGTACCTACTAATAAAAACCATTATAAGACACAGCAATAATTCATGTCAAATTTTTTGAATTTTTTCATAAAACATCAAATGGGTGTCATAACGACGTCCATGAATTTGTCGTCTACTAGGTCGAGTATTTATATTAAACATGGCACAGAAATCGACATCAAGCTCTCATCAGTCGATGCGTCACAGATTGGCCATTTAATGTTGGACATAAGTACCTGTGTTGCACTAGCGACGACGATACGGTGATCTGACATTGCGGTTCGTTACGTTCTGTTTTATGTCCATACTCCATTGTAAAATTATACGTTTAATAACCTATACATTTGTCATTTACGAATACCGTTACATCACTGATGGATGATAGTGAGAGGGGGATCATCCAGTAAAAGGCCCTAAGTATAATATTTGAGTACCTATCTAATAAATTCAAAATCAGTATTACATCTACCAATACTTTTAACAATTATTCTAGTTTAAACGTTATTAAACCGTGTTCAATTTGACTTTTATTATTGTCTTTAAAAAAATATGTTTTCCATTTTAGCCATTCAMATGAAATAAAAACTTTATTGTACTTAATTCCAATAACTGATTATGATGAGTAAACCAATTATTTAATGTTATATTTACAATACAAATATTAATCAAAAAATTAATTAGAATATATTAAGATGTTTCTTGTATATTACTCGCATAATAAATGTAAACTGAATTGTATTATGATAAAATACAATTTCATAAATAAGTACATCTATCGATCAATAAGTAAACCAAATCAACCAATTTTTAAAAATTAAAGTGAAACTTACTCTAAAATACAATAACAATGAATATTTATTTCACATTCAACATTTTGAAAATAATTAAAACACTCAGTATTCATTCTTCATTCTTTTTTTGGTTTACTTAAATTACAGACACAATTTTTAATAGCTTTTAATAAAATAATAATAACACTTAAACTAACTAAAACAATCAAAACAGAGGTAACTAGAATGTCAATTAAAAAATATTGATACCAAGACAATTTCAGGGCAGCTGTTTTTAAATGATGTGCGCCCTTGTGTTTGATTACATATTCTGTCCAATATATTACTTCTTCTTTTGGTGTGTTCAGTCGATCCTTAAATCTTCTAGAAAGTTCCATCGCTTTTAATTTGTATCTATAAATGAAAATTTTTATTATATTTTTGAATATTAGAAAACAAACATTACCTAATTGTATCATGTTTATTAGTTTGATATCAATATTTAATAGTATTATACTACCCTTTAAAAATTGAATTTCGTCAAAACGATTTCCGCGATTTTTTTTAATGTAAAAATCATAGACAAGTATAGAATACAATTAAATGATATTGTTATGGAATCAAGCTATTTATGATTCATTAGAATTTAGAATATTCATTGTTAAATTAAAACTTAAGCCAGCAAATTTATAAAATATAAAACAATAATATATATGCATACGATATTAAGGCTCTCTACTATAGAACAGTGATTTTAAAAATGTGAGTCGTGAGCTTTTGAAAATTATCTTTTATAATAGTTATAAATAATAAAAATATAATATAATAAGTCATATTCTGAAAAATAAATCAGTTGATGTACCTAATAAATACAAAAAATAGAAAAAAAATTTGGTAAAAAATT